AGATCTACCACAAGACACATCGTTAGCTTCATCGCCCATGTCTATGCAAAGCGTTTATAGTGAGCGAGCCTCTGCACCCGAACTTGCTTGTCAACCTCCAGTCTCGGAAATACGATCACAAGCTCTCGATGAGCGGTTCTCAACTCCGCACGATGCGTCTAATCTGCCATCTGTTCAAAACAATTCGATAGCTACTGCATCACACAACTTGAGCTCGGACGGCATGGTCGGCGTGCAGACGCTTTCCACTACCGGCAATTTCGATCAAGATGTGGACGACCTTGCAGTTCGCGATGGCGGTTCAAATCCCAATGTCACTGACACTGCAATTTCCCGACCCCGTGACCAGTCCAGTGATTCAGATGTGCACATTGAAGAATCTCATTCGGCCACTGATTTGACTGATTTGTCGGAATCCACATCCTCCGTTTCTGCGAATGGTTCAAGTCGCCACAGGCTCCTGAGCAGAATCTTGGCGGCTGCCTTCCCAGCAGTTTTGGGACGACTGTCGGATGATGCAAATGAAAGTGACATTAGACAATCGAACCTAAACACCGAAGATGAAAATGTAAGCACGGGAACACTTAGACGCCGAAGAACATGGGGGGCGCATGAAGACGACTCGTCGACCTCTTCGACCTCTCGTCGCAATACGTCAGGACGAGATGCCATCTCTCTGAATGGATTCGAGCAATTCCTCGATTTATTGGAAAATCAGAGCGATAATTTGAACGATGGAACCTCCGGAAATCAACCATCGTCACCCACAAGACGGCCCGATTGGATGGATGGGGCAAATGGACGCAATGGTGCAAATGGTGCAAACGGCGTTTCCTCCTTCATACGCTTCCTCAGAATACCCTCACTCGATATACCGACATCAGATTCGGCTTCCTCCGAGAGCAATGCAAACAACGGTGAATCAGCGGGTGCTGATAGAGGCAGTCGTTCCATGGTACCAGTTATCATCGTTGGGGTGCGTAGCCTTACACATCGAGAGCATTGGGATCGCCAAGATGACTCTGATCCCGCGCGTACAACGCGTCCACGATCTGTATCATCTTCCCTTACCTCACGGCACCCGCTTACCGTGGATTTTGATGGTGTTCCCATCCCTCATGAGACGAACACAGCTACATCATCTCTTGCCCCTTCGATATCATCATCCATGATCCCATCACGGCCCGTTGTGGATCCGCCTGCAGATTCCGATGCAAGTTCACAGCACTCCAATTCCGATGCAACCAGCGCAACTGGTGGTAGAGGTCAACGTGCTTGGGTAGTTTACATTTATGTGGCCAGACCCTACACAACAGACGGTACTCAGGACAACAACACTGATATGGCCGACTTTCTCCAAAACTTTCCCGCACAATCTGTTCTGCCAGGCTTATTGTCTGACAATCCTTCGTATGAGGACTTGTTGCTTTTAAGCATGTTGATGGGCAATGCTCGCCAATCTACAGCAACGCAAGCACAAGTAGAAAAGCAGATACCACAAACCCAATGGTCAATCAATCTCAAAGAAGAGGTGCTTGGCAATACAGAGCGTTGCCAAGTTTGTCTCACAGAGTATGAAGATGGAGAAGATGTACGACTCCTCAATTGCAAGCACGTATTTCATAAGGAGTGTATCGACAAATGGTTGACAGAAGGCAGCAATCGTTGCCCTATATGTCGCGGAATGCCGGTCAATAGAGACGAGAAGCCGGCGGAGCGAGACGAAAGCGCAGAGGTTATAACCTAAGCGGCATGAATAGCAAAAATAGACCGCACATGGTTGCGACTGTGTATATACATTGATATATTGAGAGGGGTGTAAAGCGACTTGGCCTGTACATGTAAGCAGATAGAATACACCACTCAAGTAATGTTATAGGTGCGTCCTGTCCAGCTTAAATTGTCTTGCATGTACCGTTTGGAAAGCTCTCAACGCGTCTTGCATGAATTGCTTCTTTCCGATGCACGCCAGGGCCTCCTCTATCGTCATCTAAACATGCTCTGTAAGTGCTGTTATCAGCCACGCCTGGCACGCACCGATTGCCTAATTCTCAGGCTTTGCTCTGGCCATTCATCCAGCACTTCATTCACCTCCATGGCATACACCCAATGCACAGTACCTGTCACATTGGGATTCTGCTTGCTAGGTTGGTCAAACCGGCCCACTTGAGCTGTAATTCGGCCGCGCAATCCCGCTAAGAAAATGCATAAGCATCTACTGGTGCAATAAGCGCCAACGCGGACCTTCTTCCCACGTCTCTCGAAGTGCAGCTTGCTCCACGGTCTCGTCATTCTCCCAACCGCCTTTGGGCTACGAAAGAGGGAGATGAGCGTCCCTGGATCCTTCGCCTTGTACTGCGACTTACATAGACAAATCGCTTGGGATGCCTGCGACTGGATATGAGGATGACGAGACCCGTTTTAGCATCATAGGGTATGCATCCGGCTACCTGTACAACAAGATGCCAAGCGATGAGCCACAAAGGTCAGCGCGCAACGTGAACAAGGCGTCAGGAACAAGGACAAGGAACGGCAAAGTGGTGTCAGTGCTAAGAATACTGAGAGCGGGAGAGACTGTACCTGGCGTGCCAGAGATTCATCGTATACCTGTTTATTCCGTCCTGTACGGGCTTCAAGGCTCATGAGGTTGTCCAACGGGCTGCTTTGACAGACAAAACTGTCAGCAGGGAATGCGGCTCGAAAGAGGCGCAGTCACACTGTCAATTCAACTTTGGGACATGCAAAATGTGCTGTTGTCGAAACGTACGATCTATAGGCTGGTCGCAACATGATGATACATATTATACACTGGTTGAACAATAAGCTGCTGGTATATTTGTGGACAAACACCAGTCGTATCTCATGGGAATGCGCGGTCCATTCCCGATTCTGGAATTTGCGCAATGAATTTAAGCCTTGGGATAATTGGCCGTGAAGAGACTTGCTAGGGTTCTGCGAGCTCCCACAAAAGGCTTACGGCCATGCATGGCTGTGTAGTTGTCAACGAGAATAATTTGCCCGTTGGCATGCGGGAAGACGACCAGGAGCTCCTCGGCGATGTCGACAATAGTTTGCTTGATCTCTCGGGTGATTTCAAAGTCATCGATGGTGTACTTGGCTTCAGAGTGACCGCGAGGGAGTCCTTCGAATTCAACGTCACGGCTACACGGAAGAAGCACGGTCAGGACCGGCACATGAAAGGTACAGGTTTGACAGGGCTGGATAACTCACATGAACGCATAAAAGTCGCCAAGCAAATGAGTAAATAGCGCCTTCTCGCCTGTCAAGGGATGAGCACGAATGCCTGGGACAACGACGTTGGTCTTCAAGCCGCCATCCTCAGTCCACTCCCACTCCAAGTTCAGACGCTTCAATTCAGCTTCAACGACAGCCTTGTCGTCAGAGTAAAATGCAGACTTCCAGGAGCGACCAACGACGGCCAATGGCTTGTCTTCCGCGGGGTAGTAGCGTTCGGTACGATAGCCCTAAGGCGCAATTTAGTACATGTGTAACCTCGACAACTTAAGTGGGGTCTCATGAGGGCACGTGTTGTATCACCCTAAATTGCCATTTCAGGAACTTTTGCTGGACTGTTCCACGCAACGGAACGAGTTCATTTCCCGACCTCTGATAGCGATTTGGCAGAAGGGGGGCGCCACACTTCCGTAACTTCGGCAAAAGGCGTCTGGATATACTAACCTTGGTTTCCAACGCTTCAATGAACTTGGGGCAAGCCTCCTTGACTCTGTTGTATAGCTCCACAGAGTGCAAGAGTGGAGTTTCTCCACCCGTTTGCGGAACGACGTCGCCGTAGAATAAAAGAACATCGGGGAAGTTGGTGGATTGAGCGAGCTCATGATGGGGATAGATCTCGTACTGGGGAGCCATTTCCGAAGCAGTTGCAACACGCTCGGCAATCTGTTGACGAGAAGCAGCGCCGTTGACATACTTGAAGTCACTCCAAGGTAAAACTATGCAGAGAGATTAGCGACTATTACCTGATTCACGCGCATATCCTAGCGATTAGGCGGTGACTTACCCTTGACAAATTGACTCACATCTTCACCTCCATGGATGGGAAAGTGCTGAAGGACAATTGCGCCATGATCCTTCAACAAGGTGGCAATCTCCTGCTGATGCTCCTTCACCCACTTTACAACATCGCTGGCGTCTTCACCTTCGACGAATTGAGACTCAAGAACAAGGGGGAATGGCTTGCCATTGTATGTGCGTTGACCTGGCACACTGCTTTGACGCGTTTTGGGAATGTAAGGTGCAGGGACCTCGGCTTGGAGCGCGGAGCCTTGGGGAGCAACGGAAGCAACAGTAGCCATGGTTACGATGTGTTTATGCGTAAGCTTTGAAAGCGAGAGACAAGACGTCCAAGTAAGCTAGGAAGCGGCAGACAGCAGCAGTCTCCTATGGGCGGTAAGCAAGAGATGGTCTTCTTGTAGGAGGAAAATCAGTCTTTAAATATGTCCAAACCTCTTGGATGTGACACCATCCCTCCCAAATCGGTCGGAAAATTGTGGAGCGAAAACCCTTACCCTGGCCAGTTGATTGCGCAGTTGATTGCGCACGAATTTTCTGGATCACGCAATTTGGCATTAATGGGCTTGGGGAATTCGCATGAATCGGCATCCACTCAAGGAGTTGTCGAACCTGCGCTGTTTACCAAACGAGAAAGAATTCGGCATGTTAAAAGCTATACTGGCTTGAAGAGATATGCCTGCTACCGGAGGAGTTGACAGACCGTTTCTACTATATCGAAGGCTCCGAACTTGTAAGGTTTCCTATACGCCAACTGAACAATATTGCATTCTTCAGCGCATCTGCGAAAGAGATGTACTGAACATAACACTGCCGAACATACGCTCAAGTACGATTGCGTGCACCAGCTTAAGAACCCTCCTTGTAAGGTTGTGGCCGACAATACCATTTATAACAATCACGTGATGTTACGAATAAGTTGGCTAATCAAAGGTTCCTTAACATCGAAAGCAATCTTGGTTTAGTGGTATAATTCTCGCCTGCCACGCGGGAGACCCGGGTTCGATTCCCGGAGATTGCATTTTTGTTTTCCACTTTTTCGTTCGCTGTCCACTCAGAATGTCGAAAATTGCTCTAGCTCTTACTGCTCCCCCTCTCAAAACTGGGGAAAGGTGGCAAGCGAATGACTCAACGTACATGTATAACCAACTTTGTTTTCAAGCACTCTTGTTGCCTTGAAGTCGCCAACTCTGGCGTCACTGAAGTGCCAATTGGTCACGCCGTCAAGAACCTCCCCGAGTAATTTGGTCTTCACCATCTTTTACTGCAAAAGGGTGGTAACTACACCGTTACTTCTCTTACGGAGAAAGAAGCCAGTAATTTTGCGTCGTTCCCGCTCACTGTGGGTGAGCTCCACGTCACGACATACCAATTCGCGTTTGTGCCCTACCACTTCAAGGTCATCGAGTTTCATTTACAAGGCCTCTCGAGCTCATGACCATCGACACATTCATGAGTCGTCACGCCAATTTTTGCCGAATATCGGAAAATTATGGCTCCTTGATTCACAGAGTTCTCCATTGCTGCACGCGTATTAACCGGCGAACTCGATATCGTAATCGAATGCGTCACTGACGAATTGAGTCTGCCTCCTCGCTTCATTGGCTACACTTTCCCGGGTTCCAACCATGAGTTCTGCGCTCGGAGCTCACAGGTCAGATCATTGCTTCCACGCATCCCTGCGTTTACTCTGCTGGCAGGCATCTGCGTGCTGAATGCATCTCTGCCCCTGGGTGTCACCACGCTTTCTCCCAGGCAAACTCGCCTATGCGGTGTTCTTATGCTCGAAAGCGCGAACCTCTCTGTTTGCCCACTCCAGCATGGTAAACCGATGAACAAATGCCCAACTTCCTAGGTAGTGGAGAATTTTAGACGGTCCGTTACTCCATTATAAAACAACCATTTTCTCCTAACGATACCGAATGCTTGCCTCGAAGCTCTCCACAGATCGATTCGACGGAGAGAGAGCCATAGAGCTAGCTTAGCAGGATGAGCAGGATCCGCAGGACCACTGAGTGCATACTCTTCTTGCCTTGGGGAAAAGCCTCACTGTCCGTCATCACCTGTCAAGTATATTACGTGAATAACCATACAATTGCCGGTCAATAATTCCATGAGCTTGCAGAGTCTCGCAGTGCACACATTTTGCCTACGTCATCATTTCCAACTGCAGTCCATTGATCGAGTTAAGTCGAACACTTGGAGACGCGCACAAGCACCACTGACAATGTCGGCGATGGACGTGGATCAGGCACCGGTGGACGTGATAAACAATGATACTGCTGTGGTAGAGAAGGAGGCAAAGGGAAAGGGCAAGAGTAAAGATGCCAACCGACAGCGGTTCGAAGTCAAAAAGGTAAGCCGAGTGGCATCACTCGTTGTTCAACTGGCTAATGTGGTCCATGACTTGACTAGTGGAACGCAGTCGCCTTGTGGGCTTGGGGTATGTGTCTTGTGTGAACTTGTTGCTTTGCAAGTCGAATCTGAACTGTGCTTCTCTCTAGACATTGTCGTTGATAACTGCGCCATTTGCCGCAATCACATTATGGACCTCTGTAAGCACCTTGCCTTCTATTATGCGGTTCTCCCAGGGTTGTATGACTAACTCGTCACCTAGGTATTGAATGTCAAGCCAATCAAGCGTCTGTCACGTCGGAAGAATGTACTGTAGCCTGGGGTATATGCAATGTGAGTATGCAGGGCACCGCAGGCGCCTTTGACTTAACGATTCGTAAACAAGTGGCTGACACTATGTATAGCACGCCTTCCACTTCCATTGTATATCACGATGGCTCAAGAGCCGACAAGTATGTCCATTGGATAACCGGGAATGGGAATTTCAAAAGTAAGTCCTTGTCTTGACATTTGGAGCTGTCAATTAATCACTTTCACTTTGCAATCCAGATACGGGCGATAAACTACATGTATATATCCCATGTACATTACTTTGCGGTCTGAGGTCGTATCGTACAGCATTAAATGCGGAACTGGCGACCCGTTGTGGACATCCGCCACATTTTGCTTCAGTGAAGACTTAATTTATAGTTGTAGCAGAAACTACAACGCGACTAATTTACTAGTCCTATTCCCCTATGAGCGCGGTTCGCCAGGACAAGTCTCACAACATGATCATACATGAGACCAGCCAACAACCCTCCGCACATGGGTGCAACTAAGGGAACCATGTGTAATATTTGCGAGCAGAAAAGACTTTCCAGCCCCAGCCGGTCATGGACATGAGTACTCTCGGTTCAAAGTCCCTAGCAGGATTCAAGGCGAAGCCAGTCTGTGAACCAACCGAAGCGCCAATGGCCATAAGCGCCAATCCAACAACCACAGGCTGAAAATCGGGCCCGGCAATCGAATCATCGTCACTTGTTGCCAATACAACAGTGACCAACAAGAAGGTCCCAACCAATTCGGTAAAGAAAGCGCCGAACGTACCGACCCAGGGCTCAGGATAAGTAGCAAAGATGGCTCGCGTCTCATGCGTATAGCCACCGTGGTTTGAATGGCGCAGGGATGGAAGGTAGACGAGATAGACAATCAAAGCGCCTACAAAGGCACCAAGAAATTGACCAATGATGTAGACAGGTACTTTGGCCCAGGAAAACCCTCGAAAAATGGCGCGCGTCAGTGTGACGGCGGGATTGAGATGAGCGCTCTACAACAATGATTGAGTAACGCCTCGGACTCGATCTCATTATCACGTACCGATACTCCACCAGCAATGTAGCAAGCCAGAGTCAGACCGATACCAAAGCCAAAATTGATGGCGATCCAATCGCCTTTCTCCCCTCCACTGAGCACGGTGGATGCTTTAAACATGGGATGAATTATCGATGGTTAAGATCAATAAGCACTTACCAATCGTTCCTGTACCAAACATCACAAAGGCTGCCGTACCAAGGAACTCTGCTGCTCCCTCACGGTACTAGAGTTGCGGAAAAGATTTAGCATCCATACCTGGCAGACACTGGCATCTTGTTAACTCACATGCCCTTTGATATTATCCCAAGCTGACATGGCTTCATTACGAACATTGTTCAGTAGGGGTTGTCTTTCGGCCATACTTGACTTGAGGTTGTAGAGAGTGAAGGTATGGGTATTCGGCAGCCGGTTACGCCCAATATATAGATTCATGCAGCCTTTCGGCACTCCTCGAGAAAATTTCCCAATAAGGGATTCGACTTTATGAGCGCGCGCGAAACTTAAACGTCTGGGGAATTTGCAATTAAAAGAGGATAGGATGATTGGCAAAAGGGATTCTGGGGATATATCCATATTTACACAGAAAAGATTACGACAATTTGCTGAGGGATTGATCAAGTATGACGATGGGCTACTGCTGTCCAACCAAATGCAACAATTGACCCTTCACGCCTTCACGCCTTCACTGGGTGCCGTCGGAGCATGCGCTTGATCTTTGTCCTCTCTCCATCCTTCATCCCATCCAATCGCAACTTTGTCCCACGGATCTTCGCCATTCCTGATTGTTTCCAATGTCATTTCAGCGGCATGGAGATACGGTTCATGAATCACTCCATAACCTGGAAACTGCAATGGCTCACTTCCCCAAAGTGCATCTGCCTGAACAATCGACCGGATAATCTTACATACATGTACTTCTTCGTGTTGGATGGTTGCATCAATGACGTGTGCCCAAGGGTTGGCTGTGTTGGTCTTGAGTTTGGTCTGATATCGATCCAGAACAACCGGGTGTAAAGCAGGACGACCACGCGAACAGTACCAAGCCAGAGTCATGGCCAAATGGGACCGCAGAAGCTGAGTCTGGTGAAACAACGACATACTAGGCAGCCAAGCTTGAAGCATCAGGATGGAAGTCACCGCATGCATGCTAAGGAGTGCAAGTCGGTAAGTGCAAACGCTTCAACGCGTCGCGGAAATCAAACATACAGGAAGAAGTCAAACTTGATCTTTCGGCCAGGACGAGGCGACATTGCATATGCCATGATGCACGCTTGGTATAGTTCCTTGAGCCTTTCTTTTACATCCTGCTCCGATTCTGCTAAACAGTTAGCTTATGATTGACGCCTGTTTGGCTTAATGCTTACCCTGAAGCTCCCACATACTAGCGTACTTGATGATGTGAGGCAAAACACCATTTTCAATCACCTTGTAAATCTTTTCAGACTGTGATGGTTGAGGCAGAGTTTTTTCGATCTCCTTGTCGGCTTGGACTTCTTGAAAAATCTGGAGAACCGACTTCTTTTGACTGGAAGACAAGTGTAATGCGTTCAATGCCGATGTAATCCCAGGATCACCATCGTACTTGAAGTTTCCCTTCTTGTCATACATGGGAGCAAGTCGGCCGTGATGAACACCGGCTTGCGCCAGTCCCTCGGCGGCGAGAAGATCGGAGCCGAATTCCATGGCGTAGCCAATGACAATCAGTGGATGATATGCGCCAGCTATGACTCGGTACACCATGTCCGGATGGAACGCGTATTCTTCGACAACCTTGGCCCGACCATTCTTCTTTATTTCCTGAGTGAAGAACTCAAGCAGGTCGGTGTAATTGCTGTCACCAAGTGTTAGCCTTCTCAATAAGCGCAGAACCCCACTCACGTTTCATCGTCGCCAACAAACTCGTGGAAATTCTTGGACGTCAAGTTGAGACCTTTTGAAGGCAACTTTGCTCTTTGGTATCTTGCATGATCGTCGTAGATGGCTTGTAATCGCTCAGGACTCGCGCCTATTGAGAACGCAGCAAGAATATGATGACTCACGTGGCTACCAGGCACAGAGCGTTAGGCACTTGCATCCTAGTGGTCAATGACGTACTTGTGGAAACCACCGGTAGTATAAAACACATGATGATCATCATAATCCTGCTTCAACAACGCCTCCACCTTCTCGCGACTCTTGACAGTTGGTCCAGGGAACCTTAGTCCATAAGGACTACTCAGGTGAATGCTAGTATCCATCCTTTTGGCCGCAGAACGATCACTGTCCCCACTTTTATGGATTCGTCATGCATCATTTGTGACAGCGATTTGG